CTCCAAATTTACATCAGCATGGATTGCTGGTTTTGAAATTTCCATCATCGGGAACCTGGTGGAGCCAGCGGTATATTATGTATACCCAGAGTGGATAATCATCGAAATTCCACTATGACAACAGTGTTCTTTGTTCACCAATCCAATGCTGTTTTCCGGGAACAAAAAAGAAGATGCACAGCAGGTACTACATAGAACGCCTAATAAGAAGACCAGATCAGTCATCAAGTCAAGCATGCATGGAAAATGCAAGCATTAAAATACAAAACACGATAGATGGCGTTTTCCGACTGCTGAAAAAGTCGCATCGCCTGAATCTTTATGTAGGGTGAGCCGGAGGCGCCTACCCCAACAGGGTAACACCCCAAGCACATATCAGTCTAACTGTGCACTTTTCAAAACCAGAAGTGGTTTTGAAAACTGTCTGCCCCTCACAGCTTGTGGGTTTTCTAAATACGTTGATGAAGAGATTTCAAGGGGAAGCTCAATAACCCTGAGTCCCTGAATACACCCTTCGACTCCCGTATGAGGGCTGCACCGGTCAACCGGCGGAGGCTTACAAGGTGCTATTGAAGGAAGTCCTATTTATTCATGTCCCTGATAATGAAAGTACGAGCATGTCGTACTTTTGATTGGACTTTAAAATTATTGTGCATGTTGGCTTCTATGCCCCACTGGAAGTAATCGACCCTGCCTGTGCCACTGGCTTGCGACTTGGGACAGCAACTGTGAATATACCTACACAAATATGACACTCTAGCAATTGTCCCTCTCAAGTACTATTTTAATATCTCCCTGAGCAGGTTCCACTTTCAATGCCGCCCCGATTTTTTCTCTTTTTTACGGAGCAATTCTATAACATCAATAAATACAAACCGTGGCTTATCGAATATTTGTGCATTCAAATGGTTTACGCCTATTTATATATGAGGCGCTAATTTTCACCGTTCAACAAGCGTTGCAGATCCGGGTGACAAAATTCTGGGGAGAAGCCGATCTTGGTAAGTTGTAGAATACAAACTCAGAATGGAATATTATTCAGTCATGCTTGGTGATATTTTATACATATGTTATATTGAGAGGCTTATAAAACAATTTATGACTGCTTCTGAGTCTTCAGAATTAGTTGCCTATGGAAGCCAACACACAGTTACATCTAGCTAGGGATGATGCCGTACAACACGGAGTCAATATCTATAAGTTTCACAGACCTACTGCTTGTCTGGTGGCCTATGCAAGTGCAAGGGGCCTCTCAACTGCTGCGAAAAGGATAGAGTTCAACAGACAGCCTGCATGGGGACGAAACAAACAATTTCTCAGGTTCAGGCAGCTAGTGCTATCTCAAGAAGAAGCTCAATGGGGTACTAGTAATGCCATTTACTGCGAAGGCGCAATTTCTTCATCCGCTAGTGTACAGAGGCAGGCAGAGAAATTATAACAGAAGTGTAACGACAGTAATATTCCTTAGGTTGGGGCAGTCATTCGCTGCAGTAGAGTCATAATACTTGCGAGAGGAGTTCGCTAAAGCAGCTGACCTCCACTTGAGTTGTCAAGCGTCTTGCAAGCCCCAAGCGCTGGGGTGTTGCGCACGGGACGCTCTAAGGTTGGACTGGAGGCCAGCTGCATCGGAAGAACTCTCCATTCGTCCTTGAGTATACCAAAGATTCCGACGGTGAGCAGCCAGTATCTGCCAGTTTTACAGTTGGTTGCATCACGCAGTGCATCGGAGGCAAGTGCGAGCAGTAAACCCCACCTTCTATATATAGGTGGGTTGCAGTGTGGTCTCTCTCAAGTTGAGCGATGGATTTGTACTTCCATGCAGATTAGCTGCTATGACCTAAATCAGTGGTTAACAAGTGCCTACAGCAATACTGCAGCAATACTGCATGTATCAATTTGGGGACTGGTTGTGTTTCAACGCGGGGTTGCTTCGCAGCACCACTTGCAACAAGCTGCGCCGCACCTCATTGCTAGCTAACGGCTCTCTCTGATCAACCTAAGACACTTGCACCGCTGTGCCCACGACTCCTGATGACCGTAAGGGAGGCCACTTGTGCTGAAGGGGCATATATCTGGAGTAAACCATCTCCGTTTTAGCCAACGATGGCACTTAGATGAGACCGCGGACAACTTGTACACTCTGTATCACCTAATGTTTCATCTGGGCAGATGTTAGCGGCTACCCTGGGCCCACAGGAAGGGGCCCCACGTGGGCACAAAGCCGTGCCATGCGGTCACAACACTAACATTGTAGGCAATTGCTGAGAACTTCTGCATGCATGCATGCTGCCTCCATTAGTGCACGTTGCCTACTTACGCCAAGTAGGCGTTCACGTGCCAAATACGGGGACACTATGGTTCAACCTCTTCCTTAGGGCAGCATGCCGTTGGGTTGCTGGGCAGGCAACATCCAGCCACTAGGTCGCTGTTCATAGGAGACTGGGAGGATGGCCAGATGCTCTAATGGGACTCATAGCTCGTGCCGTTTTGACTTCGTTGCAGTTCACGGCTGTCCTCTACTACGATCCAAGGTTCACTCAATACAGGCGACAAATGGAATTGATGAGGCCGGAAATCTTGTTGCAGAAATGCGCATCGAATTCCATGGAACCTCCATTTTGGAGTGGCATTGTTAAAAGAAGCCTAATGCAGACAGAAATACACGTATGTTGTACAGCATCATACGCTGGCGTGCTTTGGGTGTAGTGAACAGCTTAGCTTCCCTGTTACTACGTATGTCTCCTCAGTAGGCCTAACTAGGTGTACACTCCAATACTGTAATCTATTCTCCATTCACATTTAACAGACGTTCCATTTAATAAAATATTAATTTCCAAAACATATTTGAGTCCATATTATTACGGGAAAACCCAGAATAATGGAACTGACTGTTGACCCTCCCAGGGGGTCAGTGCCAGAGTCACAGCACCAACCTCGCATCCAGTCCCATGGTTGGTGAAGGCTAGCGAGCACTCTGATCCTATTAGGTTTCCCTTTTCTCTAAAAGTGCCCTAAATCCTTAAACATTCTATCTTATTTAAGCCCTTTAGAGCTACCAGGCCCCGCGGGCACACCTCGAAGGTCCATTGTAGTGCCTGTGCACTACATTGGGGCTGCAGCTCTTCTTCACCCCTCACTGGCTTGCAGGCCGATTGCTCCGTTTCATGCCTGGCTGTTCAAGCCAACAATAGCTGTTCCTTCGTCTGCTCATACTCATTCACATTTAGGCCGTGACCTGCCACTGATGCTGCGAAAATTGATCTCCGGCCTCCTATGATTTTCGCCGAAGGACGCCGGGCTGTGCCGCATGCAAGAGCCGGCCCCATCGATGCATGTGAACAACTCCCCGCCGGTTGTGTCCCGGGGGCCTCTTAAAAGTTTGCTTGCTCTTATGTAGAGGCATTTTGGGAAGTGGAGTAACTGCACGGGTACAACACGAGCTACAACCCTCCGCCCCTTCGACTTCGCATGGAGCCAAGCTCGTAATGGAAGGGATGCAAAAATGGAAACAGCGATATTATCTTGCAGGTGAGGGAATCTTTCATGTTCTTCCAATATGTTGTTGCACAGTAACGCTCATATGTTCTTGAGCGACATTCCCCAGTGCAACTGTTTGCCGCGTTTCAGGTGTATCGACAGCCAACCGCCATCCAGCGTGGAGGCTTTGCAATTCAGTCCCGACGGTCGATGGTTGGCAGTCGGCCGGTCTAGCGGAATAGTTGAAATCTTCAGCTCCGTCAGCCGCCATTTAAAGCTGGTATGTGGTCTGTGGAGGTTTTCACCTCGCAGATACGCAAGCTTCTTCCCGATGCATTCTGATTTCTCGGGGATTTGTGCGATGAACCACACCCAGTATATTTCTCTGTCCGAAGCGATTTTTTGTTGGGTTTCCTTTACAGAGGCTTTCAACGGTTTCATGCAGCTCCGTGCGGAACATCATTTGGTTGCCCTTGACTCTGAGAGCGGCCGCGTCCTCAGCCCTTTCTGAGGCAGGTGGTGTGACTACAGAGCAGACGGAATTCAATGACGTCACCATAGTTTCCCTATTTGAATGGCGTCTTGTAACAACTGGACTTCATGGTGTGATTACATCGTGGAATCTCCGCACTTGCCGCGTACAGGTACGAGTGCGTGCGCATCGGCGGAACACATAGCGGGGGGAAGAGGGAACCGTCGCTTGCGTTTGCATATTGGCAATTTCATTATGTTTCAAGAATTGAATGTTATTCCCCCTTGTCATCCTTCATTTCCGAGTAATTGTGGAGTCGTAGTTGGCCTGTGTGCGTGCTGCCCCGATAGGCCGAGTGTCCCTCAAATGGTGGCGCTGTTTTCTTTCTCTGCCGCTGTCCCCCGGAAATAGGACTTCCGTCCTTCGCTGCTGCATGCGACGATGGTCGCGTCCGGCTCCTGCACGTCTCGGGAATAGCAGACAAAGCTTGCCGTGAGCAAAGCGACGACCCGTATGTTGGGGTGATTTCATCTGACAATGAATCGACTGAGGAAATTCAAGTCACGCACACTCTCCCCAAAACGAAAAGTCCGTCTTCTTATTCTAAGACTGACAGGCAGCGTAATCACTGCGCACGTATTGCCTTTTTGCTTTGCATGAGGCGCATAACACGAAGTGCCCTCCCCATTGTGCTGCTGGAGAGTCCGCTCCTACGGTCTTTTTGCTCCTCGAGGGTAAAGGGCATTACGCGTTCTCGGGGGTTGAATAGGAAAGGCGAAAGACGGAAGTCAGGGAGTATAGGGACCATTGCGTAGAGAGTTGCTGCATGCGCCTTTTGATGTTTGCGTTTTTGTTCGCCATCAGGCCGTTTACTTTCGGTATGTTGGTACTCCCGGGATTTGATTTTTGCGGGAAATGCGACTTCGTGCATTTTGCGGTTTTCGCGCTCGGGACCTCAGAGCGCCTTTGTGGCCGATGGACAGATGGCGCTGGAGAGCAAATTTTTCACAGGAGACTCTAAGTCGGATAGTGAGTTGCGATTTGAGCAGAGCGATTATTCTTTTGTCACATTAATTAATCATTGACGGGGCCTGTGGGTTAAGGATTGTTTAGTCGTGTAGTGCGCACCCCGTGGAGTGAGGGAACAGCAGAATTCAGTCCTTATTTTGTTGTAGTCGTTTTTCCTGTGATTAACACTTGGCGACACCTGAAAGCTAGATATATTGTGTTGGGGTGTATAACTAGCAGTTGTTAATTGACTTCTGCCAAACAAGAGGGGAACTGCGCGCGCCAGCCCAGGTGTTGTGTCCGCACGTTTTAATGGGTCTCGTTTGGTGATGTGCTGTGTTGTTCTGTGAATTTTAGATAGCCCTACTCTCGTTTGGAATCTGAGGGCGCTGCGCCGCCGATCGTTGCTTCTCAGTGGCGACAGTCGAGGACGCATAACCTTGTGGAGCTTGCCCACTTGTGTGCCGCTACAAACATTGCACGTTCACGTTGCTGACGTGCTGGACATGCAGTTGATGGTATGTATAGACAGCTTGATCGCCGACGGAAACCACAGCGACGCGCAAACTGTGAAAAGGAAAGAAGAGGTTGTCCTCTCTGTAGGGGTTGACGGGAAGCTGTCTGCAATTAGCAGGACGGAGGTCAGGCGACAAATTTTTGTGTAGTGGAGTACATGAACATATAAAGATCCCGAAGCACTGAACAGAGGAGAAGCGTCCCTGCACAGCCCGTGCTCCCGTTCTTCTTCAGGGCTTGCTCTGCATCCGCTTCAGCAGCATACACAGCGACAACAGCAGCAAGTTTAGCTTCGACCGTTTGGTGAATTTGTGGCCTGCTGCTCAGGAAGACCGGTGGGTCGTCCGCGCCTGTCGCTATCCTCATTTGTGTGACAGCCAAGCCCTAGCGTGTCTGCCTAAAGTCCCGGGAGGCCCAGATGGCTCTTTGATTGTCACTGGGGCAGCAGATGGAAGCATAAAGTGGATGCGGAACCTCACGGAACTGGCGGTAGGCCATAGGACGAGTGTCAGAGAGTGAAGTACATATTCTCTGTCCATTTTTACACTCGCTTCTGAACCTGGCAATAACTTGCTTAGTAGTTTCTTCATGCGGAGTTTGCCGTTCTTTAGGGTCTCAAGGCACCTTGCTTGCCCTTCTGTTTGTCTCCTACCCTTCGGGGCCTCCAGCGGCCGAAAGTAATTTGGAAGAAGCGGTTGCTGGTGTGTCCGTCTGCTACGGAAATTGGAATATGGTGAGTAATTGAAGGAGGAAAAGAACCATAAGACACTACACGCAGTGTACCAATTTATATTTCACAGATATATAAGACACTACACATAATGTACTAATTTATATTTCACAGACGTCCTACATATTGCACTGTACCTACAGACATGGCGAGCTGTTCCTTTTACTCTTTGTGGTGCACCCTCTCAACTGTCTGCTGGCTGATGATCAAGTTTGCGGCGCTCAAGGGCTACTGTCCTTCTGTACTTCAGGCACATCGAAGATGGGGCACTGAACAACAGTGGCGCAGTGGAGGACAGCAAATCGGCGGAGCCCTCACAGTCTCCTTTGATTAAACTGGCGAAAATATCGCTCCAAAACCAGTCAAAAATTAACTGCTGCGATGCAGCCAAAGATGGACAGCTGTTAGCTGTGGGGGGTAATGACGGGCTGCACCTTTTCGCCTTTCATGTCAAAGAGGTCAGTAGGCACTTTGCCACCGTATTAGCAGTCTAGGCCGTTCCCGCTGCATCTTCACACTGTTAGTTGCTCTTGTGAAACTGTTCACTTGATGTTCACTTGACGTGCATATATTTGCGCACATATTCATGCATAAGCATGTACATGTATTTTCATATATATTTGCTCATGTGTGTGTTTTCGTTGCCTCAGTTGGAAATTCAGGATTTGCAGTGTCTTGGCGCTTGCCGAATAAGGGAGATGGTGACGGCTTTACAGTTCGTTTCTCGTAGTATTCTTGCGTGTTGTTACTTTTCGAACAAAAGCCGCAAGACAGCGAACTATCGCCGCTTGCGCGGAGATGCAAGATCCGCTGAATCTGTTTCAGCGAGTGAATCAGTGGGAAGTGGAGCTGCTGAAAACACGCATAAAAGCCGAGGGCGGGCAGAAGACGAAGGTTGCATCTCCGTTACTCCGAAAAAGTGGATTTGTAAAGAGGTCCCTTGTTTACGGGAGGCGGAAGCACTGCCGGATCGTTTGGGGGAAACAGACGGCACGTTCTGTCTTTCGTTCATCAAAGTCTCCACTGGAACTGAGCTTGCGTCTGTCCGAGACCTACCCTTCCGTAAGGCCATTTGTTTCTCTTCAGACGAAGAATAAAAACGTCCAGCGCTACTAGTGACTGATCTGCGGCGGTATTGTGCTTACTGCCAAGCATACAAGTTTATGGTCAGAGTTTGTAGAATGTGCGATGGCTTGAGGTTTGCTTCTTTATATCCTTTCTGCTATGTTATGCTCAGCGGTTGTGCACATGGACTTGAGCCCTGATAGGAAGAAGCTGGGATGCCTGAACAGCAACAGTTCCATTTTTGTATTTGATGTGGACTCCTTGGAGTTGATGTACTTCTTGCCAAACATTTTTAGAAGGGGAGAGAATGTGGCGAGCTTTTGCTTTTCCCCCGACTCCGCTAGGCTGTTCGTGCTAGGCACCCGCAACGGCTACTTCCTAACGGATGTAAACGAGTTCGACTCTTCTCTAGCAAAGAGCGACGAAAACAACAAAGGCGAAGCGAAAACGGACACGAAAAACAACAAAAAGTTGCAAAAGCAGAGACGGAATGTCCGCTCGGTAGGCTGCACGGGATCTAACACGGAAAATTATGCTTGCTTCTTCCCTCACCATAAACCAGGCAAACCAACAACGGAGAGCAACTGACAGAGGGAAAATGCAAATGGGGAACTCAACATGTGTGCGCTCGCACATTTATTGGGTTCCAGTTCTACATTGCAATATAAGTGTCCGTTTCACCATTGATGACAGAGTCGTCCGTCGAGCGGTGTGCTTTAAACTGCGTGTGTGCCTTTTCTGCCGGTGTGCAGATCCCTGCTCGCCTGCTGTCTAGAGAAGACGGTTCGATTGTTCACTGCAAGTGGGTGGAGGACGAGAGAACAGCGTACGTGCTGTGTATGACGCCTTCCAGCTTATATAAGCTCTCGCTGGACGATGTGACATCGTCTATGGACGTCGAGAACAGGCCTCAAAAAAAACCGGGAGGCGAAATCAGGCTTTTAAATCTGAGTAGTGACTCGGAGGAAGACAGGGATTATCAGGACAGTAGCTGTTCATCGCAAGCGGTACGATGACTTCCTATTTCCCCTCGTGTATCTGTCTAGTAGACATTAGGGGAAGCGCGTAGACAAGCCTTTGAGGACTTGGTATGCGTTTTTGTTTGTTGCAGCGCTCGGTCCCCCGCCAGCTGAAGAAGTTACGAGGGCAGCGCCCCGTCATAATTTCGCCTGCTCCGGCGTATGCGGCGCCTTTCTGTGTGCCTCGCGTGCTTCCTGCTTCTCTCTCTCGGCAGGATAACAATGAGGACTTAAGGTTCCTCTGGAATTCTCAAGGGTCTCCCTCTGGGGCCACCCCAGGCGGCACGGACAGCACCCGTTCAACAGCCACTACGCCCGGCGATTCCCCCGTGAGTCACCAGCGAGCAGACAAGGAAGCCACTGCGGAGGTTAGCAACAAGAAACGAATGTTTAACAGCATTACACGTACAGCGCGGCTGCTCCGCCTAAGCGACAATAAAGGCTTCGTTGGATTTGCACTGGAGAAGTGCGACGGGCAAACGGCAGCCAAAATGCTCCCCTGCCCGAATGGGCCCTGTAGCCGCGCCCTTGTTTTGTTGGAGGTGTTGAACACCGGCGCCCCGAACGAATCGTCGCTTCCTCCATTCAACAGAAAGCGGTATGGCACGTAGTGCATACATGGCCGCCCAACACCGGGCAGCGCCAGAGGCAGGAAGACGGGGAAAGGGGGCAGCAGACTGGTTGTCTGCCCTTCTTGACAGTTGAACTGTCGTTAATAATTTCCGTATTTGTTATGTTGTGTACCTATGGGGCACAATGTTTATTGTGGGTTTTATGGTGCTTCTTGTACTAATGGGACTTTTGTTCTGAGCTCTGAGCGTCAAATGTGCGCGCCGGATGGCATTTTTTGTCGCAAGCCCTTCATTAGCTGTGCCTGGGCTGTTTCCCTGCTATTGTTCCGTTGTATCCACAATAGAGGCACTCCAGGGTAGTATGGCAGCAGAAATTAAAAGAAAAGCTAGGAAGAAAATGTTACGACCTGTTCAGTCGTCGTCATCCATTTTAGGCATATACGCGAAAGTGTTCAAGAGAGAAGTGATGCTCCTCCTGCCGCAGATCGCGCACGCAGCCCACTGCTACAACTAAATGACTAAATCGCGAGAAGTAAATACGTAGTACTGAGTGTGTAGACGGATAGCTAGTGGCCTTCTAACTCTCTGCGGGGGAGGAAGGAGGCGGGGGAATCCTTACATTTCCGTCAGTAGCTCTGAAGGCGTGGTCAGACGCTCGACCTTCACAGCGCTTTCGAAGAGACCCATTAACTGCCGCTTATTCAAAGTTTCCTTCGCCAACAGCAGCAGTGCCTGCATTCACTCCCCAGGCAGGTGCGAATTTCAACGTCAACTGCAGAGGCAGAGCTGCATAACAGCTAGGAGGTATACATATGACTAACAGCGGAAGTTGTTAGGTGATGCCACAGCAAGCCTGCAGATAATATGGGGGAATCCTGGGTTCGGTTCAGCTCCAGCCAGCTTCAGCTATTTATTTGGACATATTTTGACATGCAAAGCGGAAGGGTCGACTGTTGTGTAAACAAAATGAATGCTATCAACTTAAGCAGCATTTCATAAGCAAATTGCACTCGGGACTCCTTTTTTGATTTATGTACCCTCTCCAGTCCGGCGATGTACGACTCGATGCTCTGCATGAAGACGCGGCGGCTGCTCAGCAAAGCGCAAAATCCAGGAAAGTAATAGTTGCATATGCAAAGTGTGATGGCATAATTAGCAAAACTGGCGGAAATACTTGCACTTTCATACGCCCAATATATATGATATATATTTTATATATATTATATACAGCATGAATTTTACTAGGGTGGTGATCTCACTCTTCAGCGGCGAATTCCGATGGGCTTTTGGCTGCAACAGCTTCCAGTTTCGTTGCATTATGGCCAATAAAAGAAATCGTTTCTTGTAGTGTCTGCACAACAATGCACCATGATATCCAGCATGAAATCCCAAGCAGGTCGCATGTATGCGTGTACTGCAGCATCCCTGCCCTAGTAGTGACATTTTAGCATAGCAATATCCAATATATGTCCAATTCAAATTTTCTGACCCTCTCCGTGAGAAAAACGTCAGAGATGGCTTTTTTCGCAGTGCGTTCCTTCAGTTCGAACAGTTTTGTCTTGCATTTGAGCATCCAGTCGACGTTCGAGGGTTGTTTCCTCTTCCAGCGTCGTTGACTACCGTCATCGGGGCTCTCATCGCGATCATGCTTGCGCTGCATTCTGCCACCTTCGTCGCCGCCCTCTTTATTGGGCGGTGATAAACCACCGTCCACTTCAGGACTGGAAAACAAAGGTGAAATGCCTACGCCTGAACCGCGAGCAAGAGGCACCCCGCGACCCCTGCAGCACAACCCCAACACAAAGTTCAAAGAGGCGACAGAATACTATTCATTAGTTGCCCACTGAATGCATACGAATTGAACAACACCACGCATGCCCCAAGGAAAGTGCAGACGGCTTTTTGGCAGTAAATTCACATTGATCCGGGTTCGTTTAACAATGCAGTCAAATGACGAGACACTTGCGTGTAGATATTTGAATGCGTGGATCCATGCTTAGGAAATCATTTACTCGGCGTTTTTGGCACTTATGTGAATTCCCACAAACTAAACGAAAAGCGGAAAAACGGGAACACGAAAATTTAACGGCCGACCTGCCAGCACCCGGTGGGTGCAGCCCTCTGCCCCTCCCTCTCCCGACCTCCGGAGATCTCCCCTCATTTGAATTTGTTTCTCTTGCAGGAACATTTACGGGCGGAGGCGGAGGAGGAGGGGGTGGGGAAGGGGGT